ATGCAGCCGGTCCTCTCCGCACCTCGGCGGGGGCGGGAGGCGCCCGTGGGCTGCGGGAGTTGCGCGGCGGCTCCCGGGTGATGCTCCATCACTCTTGGGATGCCTCATCACTCGTAAGGGACTCCATCCCTCGTGGGATGCTGCGTCACGTGCGAAGCAGCGCTCCGTTAATCGTGAGGTGTTCCGTCTCTGGTGAAACAAAGTTCCACCAGCCGTGAGATGCTCCATCAGTCACGAGGGGCTGGCATCYCTCATGAGCTGCTTCATCGCTGACACCCCGGCACTTGTGACATCCTCCACTCCTCGCAGACATCCCCACGGCCACCGGGGGAAGGGACGGGGGTCTGCGTGGCCCTGGCGAGGCACAAAGTTCTCGGGGTGGGGGCGTGGGCACCACCGGGGATGCATTTTGCGGAGCAGCTGGTGCAGACAGCTGGTGCTTCCCGGCCGCCCGCCRCGCTGGGGGCTGGCAGGGCCGGCTCAGCCACTGACGTATGTTCAGGACAATCTGAGCGATGACAAAGTTTTTCATCCGGCTGCCTGCAGTTCCCTCTGCACCGCCCCTGCGGCTGCGGGGAGGGGAATGGGCCTGGCGGGTCCCCTGGGTGCCGTGGGAAGCGCTGGGCTGTCGGCGGTGCTGAGCSGAGTTGTACACACGCGGCTGCGGCTGCCGGACGGGCACGGCCACGGGCACGGCCACGGACGGGCATGGGGCTCCGGCTGCCCCTCCGCCGCAGCACCAGCTTCACCCCCGAGCACCCTGCCCTCACCGAGCTGCCCGGCCCCGCTGCCCTCAAGGTGGAAGCGAACGTCCTTGTCATGGGAGCGGACAACGTAGGGAAATCGGGTAAGCACTGARCTGGAACAGGGCTGAAAACTGCAGCAGGGTTAGGAGGACCAGCCCATGGAGAAAATTGGTGGGATGGGGCTGAGCCTTGGGGTGCAGCTGTGATTCAMGGTGGGGAAGCTGAGCACAGCCTTGTCGGCAGCGGGTGAGTGAAAGGGAAGGTATTTTCCATGAGCTGCAGTTTGCTGATGCTCCGGGTCCTGCTGCTGCTTGGGTTMKTGCTGTGCTGCTGTGCTCACAGASCTGCTGGTGGCTGGGGGAAGCTCAGAGGTCATTCCCGCTTGTAGGAGTTCACAAGGGGATGGTGCCTGACTCTGCTGAGGATTTGGAAAGGAGAACCCTCCAGGTTTGGGGATGTTCTGATGGTTCYTGTCCTTCCCTCTGCAGCTCTGACYGTGCGTTTCCTGACCCGGCGCTTTATTGGGGAGTACGGAGACATGGGTGAGTGCCAGGCCAGTTCCCACCAGGGACTGGGGTCGAGACACAGCCCTGCTCCTGCCTGCAGGATTTCATGGCAGCCCATCCTCTGCTGCCTTGCTCCAGAGCCTTTGGCTGCTCCCAGGGGCTCGATGTTGTATTTACTCGGTGACCCATCTCTTTGCTCCAGAACTGCCTCTCTGGGGTGYAGAAAGTTCAGGGTGACAGCTGGTGACACCATGAAGATGACTATTTTTTTTTTTTTCTTTTTTTTTTGGGCGGCAGAATTCATCTACAGCCACAACCTGACTGTGGATGGCCGAGAGATTCTCTTCCACATCTGGGATGTTCCCAGTTCCCAGGTGAGAGGGCTCCACTCCTATCACCTATTTCTGCCCTGGGGACAAAAAAAACCCTTTACTGGAAATTACCTATGGGGAACCAAGGGCTGGGAGGTCCAGTTGAGCACAGCTCTCGAATATGAGGGTCCATAGGTGGCTGAACCCTTCTCACCTGCCAAGCACAGGGCAGCAGCGTTGCTGACAGGGTAGCAATTGTCACCTCAGCTCATGGCCCTCTGGCTGAGAGCACTGGAGCTGAGCCACTGATGCCAATACAGGACTGTGCTGAAGAAGGGCTGCTAGCAGGTCCCCACACTGTTGTCACCTACAGCCTGCAGTGCTTGGCAGCTGGGGAGGGTTAGGGTTAGCCTGTGATGCTGAAAGCTGAGACCTTGCTGAGGTCTGCCAGGTGCTGCTCTGCCTTCCTTGGTACTCCTCTTTCTCTCTGCCCTCCTTGGTACTCCTCTTTCTCTCTGCCCTTTTGTTGTTCCCTAACATCCCTATCCCTATCTGCCCTCTTCTAGCAGGCAGCTGTGGAGGAAGGGAGCCCAGTTTAACAACCCTTCCATTTCTCTTTCCCCAGGAGCAGACAGAGGATGGCTCCTCGGAGGAGAAGCGAATCCAGTGGGCAGACAGCTTTGTCCTGGTCTACAGTATCTGTGACCGTGCCAGCTTCAACATGCTGCCCCTCAAAATCCAGTTCATCAAGGCAGCCAAGGAGGGACAGAGCCAGGAGAAGGTGCCCATTGTCATCGTGGGCAACAAACGGGACCTRCACCACCAGCGGGCGGTGTCCAGCGAGGAGGGGCGGCTGCTGGCCCTCTCTTTGGACTGTGGTTTCTACGAGGTCTCTGCAGCTGAGGCTTATCACGGGGCCCTCATGGTGTTCCACGGACTGGCCAAGCGCATCCCGGACACCAAGCTGGCCCTCAAGAAGGGYACAGGGATCCGTGGCATCGTCAAGACCGTGTCGGCTGTGTTTGCCCGCAAGCGAACGGACTCGCTCTGAGCTGCAGCAGGGGTGGTGCTGCTCTCTGCACTGCCCAGCTGGGCCAGCCCTCCTCACTGTGTGCCCATGGAGGTGCCCATGGTGTGTCTTTCCATATAKATGACGGGTTCCTTGCTGTCCTGCTGATGTCGGGGTCTGGGTGTCCTGCCATGCATGGCTGGTGCAGCTGAGGACTGTGGTGTGTTCCCCTCGGCTCTGCCATGGGACAGTCTCATCTCTTYGCTGCACCAGCTTTTTAGGTGCCTCCTGCTCTCTCCTTCTTTCCTCCAACACTGGAAACCACGGCGTGATTTTGCCAAAGCTCCAGGCAGCAGCACCCCGAGCTCCTGCAGCTGGAGCTGCCCAGGCTGTCAGTGAGCAGGGAGGATACCCCGTCTCTCCACTCCTACCCTGGGATCCTTCTTGCTGTTCAACACTCATCAGGATCCTCCTGAGTACCCCTGGAGCACCCATGAACTGAGAGGAGGGGGATTCTCCGCTGGGGAGGCACTGGTGATCTCCACGTGTGTTTCACTGTGTAAAAGTGTCCCAGAGCCCACAGCACCAGCCATCCTGGAGTGCTTTGGTGAGGGCTGTGCCTCCCATCCCCCTGCCTTGCTTTGGAGCTGTCCTGCTCGTGGCCCTCTCCCCCACAGCCTGTCAGCRATCCCAGCCGTTTCCCCCGTGCTGAACAGGCTGTGCCTGGGAACAGCCAGGCACGGGGCTGGTTCCCAGGGTGGGAATGCACCACGAGCCTTCCCAAGCCGCTCCTGTAAGGCTGCCTGTCCCCGGGGASGACAGGAGGTGGGGAAAGGGGTCGCTGGGCTCCTCACTGAACYCTTCTGCTGCTGGGAGGCTTTTCCCTTGCACCTCCCAAACCCTTCCCTGTGTGCCCTGGGAGAGCAGCGTGCTGGAAGAGGGTTTGTGCGTGCTGTATGGACACTGATTTYTCTGCTGTGTTCTTCTGGAAATGCAATAAATTGTCTTTGGCAGGAAGCCACGGCTCCTTGGAGCTGTGAATTTGTACTTGGGGCATGGGAAGAGACACGAACAGCGCTGGGCATGAGCACCCACTGTCCCTGCAGCTACCCACAGGGAATGGAACAGGATGTTTCCTGCACCCACTCCCTTGGCCCTGAGCTGGGGTCTCTGTTTCATGGTTTGGTGTCTCAGTCCCACACAGCAGCRGAGCAGATGGGCTGTTTGTGATTGCAGCTTTATTGTTGCAGCAGATACAACGAGGTGTGGGAAGCCAGGCCATCCTGTGGGAGAGGGGCTCCAGGAGCTCCAAAAGGCTGTTCTCACCAGCCTTTTTCCTGACCCCAACATCCATCCCACCACCAGCTGGGAGGGAAGTACCCAGGGATATCCCGCTCATGAATCCTGCTSGTTGGTGGGGATGCTCAGCCCCTCCATGGAGGAGCAATCTGTGGCCAGGGACAGATGTGAGGGGGGATGRAGGGAGGAAGGATGGGGAAACAGGCTTGCTGTGGTGATGTTTGACAGCTTTGCTGTCCTCCCTGCTCTCTCTGTGCTGTTCTCAATGTCTAGCCCACCTAAATTCACTCTGTCCGCTGCGCAGGGTCCAAGGTAGCCTAGTGCCAGCCCTGGCTGTCCCTTTCTTCTGRTCTCACCACTCTTTCCCCATCTCCTTCACCCTCCTAGTCCCACCTTTCCAACAGCAGGGCTTTTGGTTGCCGTTATTCCCCCATCCTGGTGCTCAGAACAAAGCCATCCCATGGCCTGTGTACCACATGAAGCTCCTGTCTGGGAACAGGGGTGCGTGTGGGCAGCTGGCAGGGGCCAGGCTAAGCGTGCTGCGGGGATTTGAGAGGGGCTGGCAGTGCCTGTCCCCACGCTGGCTCAGTCCTTCTTGAAGACGGGGCTGTAGAAGTTGCCGTAGTAGGCGCGGCTGTACACGGACTCGGGGCTGAAGCGGTAGGAGCCCTCGCTGACGCGCCGGTTGTAGGGGGAGAAGGCGGATTTCCGTGGGAAGGGGTACTCGGGGTCGAAGGCAGGGCTGCGGTAGTAGCTGTGCCGCAGGAAGAGCGGGTCCTCGAGCCCCAGGAAGGACAGGGGGTGGTGGCCGCGGTACAGCCGCCAGTCACTCCTCAGCTGCGATTTCTCCTCGCTGGAGGGGGCAGCGGGCTTGGCCTCCTCCTCCTCCTCCTCCTCCTTCTTCTCTTTCTTCTCCTGGTTGGTCTTGTTGCCCCTGGATGCTTCTTCTTCCTTCACCGACTGTCTGCGGAGCTGAGGGATGGGCTCAGCACCCAGCCAGGCTGTGCYCCCTGCCAGCCCTGCTCCTCCTGTGCTACACAGCCCCCCTTATCCCCTGGGATCAGCCAGTTAGCCCCAGAGCGGAGGGGAGGGTGCGACTTGCAGCTCTTGGGCAGCTGTGGTGGAGAAATAGTGCCAGGGGAGCAACAGGCTGAGGTAAAGGAGAGGGGATGAGAGGGGATGTGGTCTCAGCCTAAACTTTCACCTTCCCAGGGATGGGGTCACACCCCGGCTCACATGAACTGTGTGAAGGTGCCACCACTGCCTGACCTGTTTGTTCCACTGGGGGACTCACTGTCATGGCTTGAGGGATGCTTGGGAGGAGGGTGGGACCCTCCTGGTACCCCCTGACATTGCTCATGGGAGGAAATTCAGCAAAATGGGGTTTGCTGGAGATGGACAGGGCCTGTCTGGGGACAAACTCACCGGCACGTAGCTGTACAGGGTGCCCAGCAGATGCTTAGGGGCACTGACGAGGGTCCCCCCCAGAGCATCCACTGTCTCCATGGCCCTGGACAGCCTGCGGGGGGTGAAGAGGATGAACCCCTCTGCCGCATCCCAGGCCACGGCCGGCACCTTCTTGACGCTGGAGATGCCGGAGGCGCAGGCGGTTTGCAGGTTGTGAGCCACGCTGCCCACCAGCCCSGGCTCCTGCCCTGCCTGCGAGAGACACCAGCTCAGCTCCCGGCCGCGATCCCTGCCCTCCCGGCCCCTCTGGGGTGGTCCTCGCTTCCCCATCCCCTTTGCAGCTCTAAGCTGAGGGATTCAGGCTCGCTGCCCCGCAAAGGCACCGCGGCACTTTGCAGCAGGGTCTGTCCGTGTCCCCAGCAGCTCCCCCCTGTCCCGGCCCCGCGGGACCCTCTGTCCGGGCTGTGTTTCCGCTGCCGGCAGAGGCGAAGGGCAGCGACCCCAACCTGCCGCTTCCCGTCCCCAGGTCCCAGCGGAGCCCATCTGGGCGCTGTTCCCAGCCCGCCGGCTGACCCCAGCTCTCGCTGCTGCCACCGCGGCTGGGGAGTTTTCAGGGGAGTTATGTGCACATCCCACAGCTCCAAAAGGGTTTTGGACACACAAACCAGGGTGRCTTSGCCTGGTGCTGCTCACAGCCCCCARTTTTGGGGGATCAGGGAGGGACTGCTGGGGCTGTCCCACTGCCAACCCCTTCTTTCCTCCTCTGAGCTGCAGTTTCAGGGTTGAGCAGGGATGGGAGCCTGCTCCCCAAAAGCGTGGAGGAACAGCCTCCATGCTTGCATAGGAGAATGCTTTGGAGCATCCCCAGCTCACTCCTGCTGTTCTCGGTACCTTGGTGTGGTTGGTGTCTTTCTTGCCTGCCTTCTCCTGTTTCTGTGGCGGTGCCTTGCTGGGCTGCCAGCTCAGCCAGCCGGTGCTGCCCTGCCGGTCACTGCGGGTCTGGGGGGTGACCCTCGGCTTGGCCAGCCTGCCCTGCACGGGAGAGAACAGCCATCTGTCAGAGGGAGCTGGCTGGGCCCATCCATCCCATCCCTGAGGAGTTCTTAGGGGTGCCCAAGGAGCAGGGAGTTCATTTGTGCATCTGGGGAGAAACCCTGAGGGCAGATCCCAGGGAGCTCTGGGATTTTGGCACGGGTCAGGGAAGATGTTCCCACTGCACCACGGGGTGGGGGAGGCACCTCCTTCTCCCCATCCCCTCTGGCTTTCTGCAGGGCCTTTTTGCTTTAGGAAGGATGTTATGGCAAGGCCATAAATCAACAACTACACACTGGGAGCTGCTAAAAATAACTTGTCCCGCTGATGTGGTACATGGTCGTGTGTGAACATCACACAGGAACCGCCAGCCCCAGCTCGTCCTGTGAGCAGGGGAAACGTACTCWGCTCTCAGGATTGCTCCAAGAGCCTGAAATGTCTCATCAGAAAGCAGAACCCACTCAGGAAAGGATCTGGGGGAGCAGGAACCCAGCAGTGGGTTCTGGCACTCACCACGATGGGGATCCAGGAGGCCAGCTCCTGCCCTTTGGTTTTGGCACGCTGGAGGCTTTGCGTGGTTTGCTGGTAAGCGCGGTGGGACACGGTGCTGACCAAAGCACCAATCCGGCCCAGGGTGCTGGGAGCACTGGGAGCACTGGGAGCACTGGGAGCACTGGGAATGCTGTGAGTGCTGGGAGTGCTGCGAGTGCTGGGAGCGCTGCGAGTGCTGGCTGTGCTGGGAGCCTTGGGAGCACTGGGAGCACTGGGAGCTCTGGGAGTGCTGGGAGCACTGGGAGCTCTGGGAGCACTGGGAGCACTGGAAGCACTGGGAGCACTGGGCTGCTGCTGGGAGACCTTTGGTGTTGACAGATGTTTCTTTTTGGGCTTCTGATCTAAAGGCAGAAGAACAGGGTTACAGCCTGGTGGAACAACCCTCCTAGGCAGCCTTATGGCAAAGCCCAGGGACTGCCTCCTGCCCCAAACACCCCACAAGCAAGGAGACACCCAGCCAGCTGTCACCAGACTCTRTCAGAGGGGATTTGGGCATCAGGATTACCTGCTTCTTCATCCTCCTCCGGCAGCAGGTATTCCATCAGCTTCTCCAGCCCTCCCAGGGCCGTGTCGACCCCTGCAGCTGCCATCTGGGTCACCGAGTTCCTCCTCGTGTACTTGGCTGTTGTTTCCACTGTGCTCTTGGTGGCCTCATAGCCCTCTGCTGCCAGCTCTATGATCTTATCCATGGAGCTGCCAATGGTGCTTTTGGCACTTTGCAGGGGGCAGGAGATGGTGTCCTTCAGTTCAGATGCGAGCTGTGGGCAGAGCGATGGGGAACAGCCCTGCTGGTGTGCTTGGGGTGGCATGGGACAGCCAGAGGGACCACAGGGATCCCAGTCATGCCCATGCCATAAACAGCTCCAAGAGGGGTATAACAGCTCTCTCCAACCTGCCCTGGAGGTAGCTGGCAGGGATGGGACACMGGCCATTGTTGGCCTATATTTGGGAGCCCTCTGGGCTGCAGAAGCCCCTTGGAAGARCCCTTAGTTGGAGATGCTGCCTTGTTTCCCAGCCAGCAGCCCTCCACCATCCAGAAATAAAACTACTAAATCTAGAGGAGATATCCTGTGGGCTCTTCAAAGGGGCTGKGGCTGTCTCAAATTGTCCTGCCTGTGACTTACCTTGTCGACGGGGTAGTGGAGGGCAGGGATCTTCTCCTCCAGGTGGTCCAAGCCCCGGCAAGCCAGGCTGTTGGCCACAGCGACTGCCTCGGGCGAAAGCATGGTTAGAAAAACCCCTGGGCTGTCCCCCTGCACATCCCTGTGGCACAGCACTCACACTGCGGCTCCAGGCGGCGCACCACGGGCTCCATGCCCCACATGGCCAGGGCACCGGCGCCCTGCACGCCCCGCTCGTACACCTGGCACACCGAGGCCATCAGCGGGTGCGCCTCCTTGGTGCTGCTGTAGGTTCTCTGCAGGCTCTCGCAGGTGGAGCTCACCACGGGCAGCTGCAGCACCCTCTGCAGCACGTTCTCCTGCTCGGGGCAGAGGGACAGGGGTGAGCCRGCAGCACTCCCTGAGGAATGTCCCATTACCCACACACTGCTGGTTCTGTGACTGGGGGATCTCAGCTGCACAGGAGGAGGAGGATTTCTCAAACCCCACTGGGGTGTTCCAGGTATGCTGTGTAAGGACAAGCATGCTGAGGGAGCAGGGACACCACAGGCAGTGGCCCARTGTCCCAAATGCTCCTCCAATGTCCCAAACCCAAATGTTCGGGTGCTCCCTCTGGCTTTCCACCCCGGTRGAAACCTCCACTTTCCTGGTGGAAACCTCCGTGACTGCTGGAGGTTTGGGGACTAAATGGGGCACAGATGGAGGACAGGCACAGCTGGCAGCTGTCACTCAGGGCTCCCATCTGCTCAAGGTTAACTTTTTTGTATCTGAACAATTTAATTTCAATGTTTATCCTCTCCCTTTGGTGATGCTCTGTACTATTGAAGGTAAAGGTCCATATAAAGAGAATATGGTGACATGTGGAACAGCATAAGATGTGTCTGGGATTCATCCAGCAGAGTCAACACACACTGCCTGCCCCCCTTGGCACATCTCTCCCTCTCYCTGCACCCACCTTGGCACTTCCATTCTGCAGAGCCTGAGTCTTCTTCACGGTCATTGTGGCACATCCACCTGCAAAGCAAAGTTGGGAGCCGCAGACTCTGCCTGAAGGCAGGGCTGTGTTTGGGCTCCCTGCTCACTCCTGCACCCCAAACACAGCAGCTGGGCTGGCACAAACCTCCCATGGATGCAATGGACGTGGCATTGCCCAACGCTTGACTTTTCACCAATTACTGTAAAACCAATGCCTCCACACAGCCCTCCCCTGCTCRTGTGTCTGAACACCCAGAGATACAAAAAATCAGTCGAGAGGCATCTGGTTTGGAGAAGGTATGGTCAGGATAAAGGGCGGTGGCAAAGCAAACTCAGAGCAAGCAGCATGCTAACAGATGTGCACGAGAAGGGGTGAGAAGGAGGGAGGAGCAGGCAGAAGAGCAGGGGGTAGGGATGTGGTGAGATGTCCAGCTGTGGTCAGCATCTCCCTTGCACACATTCCTCATAAAACCAGCACTCATCCCTATAAAAATACAGCTCCAGCCCCAGCAGAGACCCCCTTTTTTTAGCAGCAGATGAAATTCTGGAAATCTAGAGAGAGTGGGTGACCCTCGGTCCCGCTGAAGCTGTCCTGCAGCACCCAGTGGGCACAGGCTACTCACCGAGGGCCAGCCTGTCCCCAGCAGAGCAGAGCAGAGCAGAGCAGAGCAGAGTGGGGTCTGCACTGTCCCTTCACAGCAGCTCCTGTGAGGGTGATGCTCCGTGCTCTGGCCACTACCACCACCATGAGGCCCCACCTCCCAGTGGCGTGGGCTTGGGGGCTGACGGATTGCAGTGGAAACGGGCCAAGGAGCTCCCTGAAACCACGTAATTGGGAACAGATGACGGCAGAAAATCCCCTTTGTCACCTCCCTGCAGAGTCCAGAAGCTGCAGCACGGCTGAAATTCTCCAGGGTTTGATACTGCTCCCTCCACAGAAGATGAGAAGAAGCTGCCCTTGGACCTCACCACCTTGAAAGCAACACACCATGAGCAGACAGGGAGAAGGTGAAGAGTCAGGCAGGGTTTCCTAAGGATTAAAACCTTCCTGTATTTCTGTAAGCCCTGTTATGCCTCATTATGGACCAGGATATGGTCCTAACATAGACCAAGAACATGGTTTCTCCCCAGGAGAGTTTACTAAGCACAAGGAGCAGGAGGCAAACGTGGGGGGACATATTCTGCTCGAAACAATCTGGTTTGGTCAGGTTTGCAGTTTCTGAGATGATTCATGAGGCTTTTGGTGAGGAGGCTTTAGCTGACGATCAGGGCAGAGAGTACATTAGGAAAGCTCTAGGCATTTAGGGTAGACCAGGTTGGATCTCTGGAGATCACCTCATTCAACTCTTGCTCAAAGCAGGGCTAGTCTCAAAACCAGATCAGACTAAATCTTGTCCAGTTTTAAAAACCTCCAGGGAGAAGGTTCCCCTCTCTCTGGGGCCCATTTCCTGGGCTAACCATACTAATAGTTAAACCATTTTTCCTAATGTCCAGCTGGAATTTTCTCTGCTGCAATTTGTGCCTGACATGTCCTATCCTTGCTCTGTGCACATCTGAGCAGAGTTTGTGCTCCAGYCGGTGATGGTGCAGCCTGTGCTCCATGCCCCTAAATGCCTCACCATGATCCTCGGCTGGACTTTAGTTAACATCTCTCTTGTGATGGTGGGACCAAAACAGGACACGGTTCCCCAAATGTAGACTCAAAAATGCTTTGTAGAACAGCTGCCCTCCCTGCTCTCMCTGAAATGCTGCCCTTCCATCACCTTGCTGCATGGGAGGCACACTGAGGGCTCACACACCATCATCAACAAATCCATTTGTGGTACWGACTGAAAAAAACCCCACACCACCTGTGTGTGGCCATGCCAGGCCTTGGTTATTGACTACAGATKAGCCAAACTCATGAGATGAGGACAACGTGGTGGGAAGAGGACAAATGTCAGAGGAGAGGACAATAACCTTGGGGGTTATTGTGGGGGATCAGTGCAGATAAGAGGTCCAGGGCTGCTCTGTGTCCTGGACCAGCTGGCCCGAGGCAGGGAGACCCTTGGCATGTGGCTCAGAATACCCACAGCTCTCCAGGACCCCCATGCAGGACACAGAGGTGAACCCCCAAACATGGTTCCCTGCTCCTGGCTGCATGGCTCGTGCATGGGGATGGGGTGGGAGGATTCTCAGGGGTAYGGRAAAGCCACAGAAGGGAGGAAAATAMCCCCTTCCCTTCCCAAAGAGCCYAGAGCTYRCTGCCAGCTCACTGTGCCTGCCTGGCTGGGYACAGAGGCACATGAATGTGCTGGGCTGCCTCCAGCTGGGTGCTGGGGTCACTCACAGCCCTCCAGACACAGGGACAAAGGGCACCAGCCTGCTTAAAATTCACTCTCTTGGCACTGAGATTTTTCCAGCCCTGCTGGCCTGGCTGAAAGTGCAGAGGGCACGGCAACCTCCTCTCTGCCTTGTTTGGAGCCAGGAGCAGCAGCCAACAGAGCCTTTGCCCTACTGACGCCTGTGCTCACCCCCTCCCCTTCCTCTRGGGCAAAGGCTGTGCCAGCCCCGGCTCTGCAGGGCAAAGGCACCACAGCCTGCCTGCCCCACAGCTCCAGCTCACACCAGAAACACTTCCTGTGCTCCTGCAGGACACCCTCAGAGCTCACTGGATCTGCAGGCTGCAGGGAAGCAGATTCACAACCCCACATCTGCAGTCTGCTCCATACTCATTAATATACCATGGTGAGGGGATGAGCCAGACCCCCAAAGCCCTGCAAGGCACCTTTTCACTTTGGTCTAGGAGGAGGCTGGAGAGGTATCTGATTCATTTCTGTGCAGGATCAGCAACCTCATAACCACTGCTGTCAGATGTATGTCCAGTTTCTTTATAAGGACTGTCCTCCTGGGCAATCTATTTAGATTTTTATTTTACTTGCAGGTCAGAAAAAAGGTGTGATTTAATTCTTTGCTGCAACATAAATGTATTMCCTCCTGCGTGGATTTAAAGACTGATTTATTGCCTTGCTCTTGGCAGAAAAGCTCTCAGACACTCGAAGGCTTCTCACACCCTTCCCCAGTCACACTTCTTCTATAGAACCAGTTAATTTGATATCTCCCTGGAGATGTTGGTTTTTAACTTTAGGCTGCTCTTGACACTCACCTGGGAATCCCCAAAGGCTTACATATTTCCTGAAATGTCATGCCAAGCACAGTGCTAACRTTAGGAAGGCCTTGTCTGGAAGCAGAAGAGATGACCACTCTCCTACTGTTTCCATTACAAAATGTGCATGAGGCCACTAATCCAGAAGGAAACTGTTACTAAAGCATTCCTGAATGCTGTGATTTAKACACTGTTCATCAGCTGACATTCTGGAGCTTCCAACTTTGCAAGACTCACTGCTCACAGGGGTAGGAGCTAACAGTGAGCTCAGTTTAATGGTTATCCTGGCTCCATCCCTRCCACCTCTGCCCGAGATGTTCCCCTTTGTTCCTCACTGAACTGGCATTTTCCATTAAAGCATGACCATCCAAATGAAAGGATGTTTGTAATTTACTGAAATGCAGCTGCCCCTGTTCCATTCAGCCAGCTGTGCCTACACTGGCTGTAAGGTCCAACTCTCACTGCTGGTACTCCAGGGCAGCTGATGGCAACTCCCAAAACATCACCTTGTTTCAATTCAGGGCATTCTATGGATGTGTTTTCCCTGATATTCATGAATTTCTTAATTTTTGCAGCTGAAATGATGACTCTAAATTAGCTGGATGAATGTATCTGCCAACTGGCTACTGCAAAAGGAGAGTTCTAGAACTCGACCATAGRCAATGCTTCTTGACAGTGTCACCCTTCATAAAATTCAGAGATGGGAAAAATCCTCCCTCCTTCAGCATCTCCTCACACCACCTTTCAAGTTACAAACACAGACAGTGTCACACTCATCACAGTTTTTTTTATTGCTCATGTTCAAACATCTTCTTCTTATTCCAGGTGCTGTTATTAGAAACAGATACAAAAAAAGGCACTAAAAGGATTTTCTCCATATGATCATGATCCTATGGCTTCAGTGACATTACATTAAAGTACCTTAAATCACCACCCTCCAGCTGAGCAGCAGAAGGCAAATATTAGTGCTTAACATCCAGTAAACAGAGGTACTCCTATATGAGAATGGGACAGGAGGRCTGAGACAGGCTGAAAACTCACCCCCATCTCCCCCATTAAGGCTGTAGGTGCTAAACCACACCAGTCCCTCCAGGAGAMTCCTCAAAGCCTGGCTCAGGGCTTTTCAGGGTGTGCCTGCAGGGCACAGGGAGGGGTAGATTGGGCTACATCACTGTATCAATGCCCTTCCCTGCAAAGTGCAAGAGAGAAAGCAGTTTGCTAACCAGTGAAAGTATTTTGCAAAGTATTTTGCATCTKTGAGCTCCCCTGAGGGGGACTGAAAACAGTTTTTTTTGCAATAAGATGGAATTCTGTAGGCAAAAGGTGGTCAAACSTTCCCTGTCAGATCAAGACTCCTCTTGCTTCCTTCAAGGGGTAGCAACACACTGGGATAATGATCAAATCTGACCAAGGGAGGGATGGGTTCCACATTGCCAGGAGATGAAAGACAAAAGGAGAATTAAAAAAAAAATCCATTGTTATAAAGGAGAAGCAGCCTTGGATATAACAWATCCCATGCACAATGCTCCATGTTGCCCTGAACTGACAGTGTGCTCTACTTTTAATGCTATTCATTTCCATATTAAAAAKAAGAGCTGCTGAAGGCCACATCTGGTCTTCAAACACACTTAATTATCCTGCCGAGCAACCTCTTTCTTTTCAAACATTTTATTGGCAGGCTAACAGTTCATATTCAAACTGGAAGTAATTCTAAGCCCAACCAGAATAATTTCAGGTAAACTGGAGCACTGCCCCACCTGCCTATTTAATTCCATATCCTTTGCCTTTTAATAAAGGAGACCCGCACCTTTTAATTTCTGTTTTTAGATAGCATMAAAAATAATAAGAGAGTAGTCAGGTTAGAGTAGTCTGTTCACATCTCCTGGCAGATTAAACAAGGAGTTCTTACACCAGGAAGCAGCAGAACACACAGGCCTAACTCTGATGAAGAAATACATTAAATTTATCTCCTATATAACTTGCAATTTTTTCTCAGATGGTGTCAAACTGGTACTCTGCAAAGTCAGGARCAGCAAAAACTGCATGCCATGCTAGACAGCTGGACACAGCATTTCTCTTTCAACCCAGTCACACTGCCAGGCATCGCTGCCAGTGAGGTCAGTGATGAACARTAACGCATTTGCAGGGCAAACATGAGGCATTTTCAAATGGTTGAGCCCATTCAGCCAGTGAGGGATGACACAAGCAATCTTGTGGTCATGAGCAGGGAGGACAGGGAGCACCAGATAGGAAAATCTAAACCAGGAATGCCCAAATCCAGTAAGAAGCTTTTCTTCTCACAGGGGATTCTGATATTATCATGACCAATGCCATTCTTGTCCCTCCTGGAGCTCACACAACCAGAAACACATCCTTGCAGTTTTTGTGACTCAACAAGCTCTGAGCCAGGCTTCTYTCCTTAACTGCAGGTTCCAAGCTCCTCATTATACTGGAACTTTTCATGTTAAATTAAAAGAGCAAAACAAGCTCCTTATCACAAAGATGATTAATGGAAAATTGTTGTGCTTGCAGTTACAGGGGTTTGGGAAATTAATGKGCTGTCCTGTATCAAAGCCCACAGCTGTGGCCTGCTGGAGCAGTCAAAGTCACTGGCCAATGGTCCTTGGCTCACAGTATCAAAGGAAATGAAGAAAGTGCAGATTTCTTGGGACAGGAGTTGGCACTCACTAGACTACAGCTCCAGCATCACCAGTGCACACCACAGAGATCCAGGAGATCCAGRTGCCATCACACTGCACTCAGAGAGTGCCTGCAGGACACAGGATCCATAACCCAAACCCAGCAGAACACTCATCCCTGACTCCAGGCCATTCTAAGTTCAGCTCCTAACCTGCCTTAGCCCACTACAGACAATCTGATTGTAGGGACCTTGGATTAGTGAAGTGAAGCTTTCCAGTGTAAACACGATTAGGCATGAGTCATATACCTATTACAGTTGCCTATGAAGATATTTCACAACCCTGTATTAAAATAAAGGAATATTTTCTTAYCTAGCAGCCAAGTTCCAAGTCCTCTTTCTGTTTGTGAAATATTACCCTGCCTTTTCCTATCTCCACTCCATCAGGGAGWGTATCATGGAGCCAAACTCATCTGCTAAGGCACAAGGAGGGAAAAAGGGCAGAATTCACTTATTCAGAGGACAAAATTAATCTTGAGGTTATTATAAGACGTGTTCATTCGAAAGTGCCATGTGAAGATAAAAATCTATCAGAGGATCAAAGCTGCAGCTTCATACTATGCAGCTCCTTTAATGTCATTGTTTCAGCTTCAGATGTGGGCTTGCTAATGTGAGGATCCCCACCAGGGAGGAGAGGATTCCACAGAAGCCAATCACTCCTGGGTTGGTCTTGTAGATTCCCAGGGCATCCAAAGGGCCTGAGAGATCACAGAGGTTYTTCACCAAGTCCAGCAGCAAAGGAGGATTCCTTTTTAGCACCTGAAAGAGCTGGAGGAGAAAACCCTGCAAACCATCACTTTTCCCACCATTTAGCTCCTCATCGTGTTTCTGCCAGAAGCAATTCTCCCTCGTCTTTTCCTCCAGCGCAGCTTGTTCCAGCCTCCAGAAGATCTCATACCAGTCCCTGGCCAGATTAATCAGCAGTGAGTAATAGTAGCACTTGGTAGCCCAATTSTGCCACTTGGGTTTGTCGATGTCCGGCTGGAGGCCGACGCTCCTCAGCCAGAGCACGGCRTCACACACGAAGTACAGGGCCCGGCTGAGGTGGGAGGCAGTGAGGCAGAARCGAGGAACCACCTCTGGCAGCTCTGCAGTTCTCCTGGCTGCCACCAAGGCGTGCACCATGTTGCCCAGTCTGAGCACTGCAAGAAACCCCACAAAGGTTAGCACGGCCTGGCCTTGCGCAGGACTCGGCCTGCCACTGTCCACGTGGACTTTAAAGAAATTTAGATGGCTTTGGGTATCTGGATGGTTAAGCATTGTGAGGAAAGGGGTGTAAACATCTCAGTTCTGTGCAAACATCACCAGCCATGACCTACACATTTGCAGCCTCTCCTGCCACTCTGTCCTCACACCGGGGTGCCCTCTGGACCAGTATCATCCTCAGCTCTGCAGGGCTCAGTGCCAGCAAATAAAAAACACAAACAGAGCCTCTAATTTCAGCTGCACATCTCACTGGCTTTCACCTCACTCTGTGGACAGAACATGTTACTGCATTAATCCTATTGCAACCACAAGCTACARCTTTCCTAAGTGTCTGTGAAAGCTGGTGATTCACGTGCTGAGCACAGAGACCAAAGTCCCTCCTCAGCCATGAATCAGTCACAGGGACATGTAGCTGCCTGCAAACTGTGTAGAACAGTGTATTCCATTTCCAGCCACAATATATGGCAAAGCTGATTTCACCCACTGCACACTTTGGGTTTTTTCCYGCTGAATGTTAATGCAATATTATGCAAAACACTTTTTACACCCTGCTGCCTTGTCACAGTGACAGATGTTGGCAGCACCCAAGCTTGGTGGAATTGCAAGAGCCCTGAATTTAGGCCTGATGTCTGTTAAGTGATTTGTTTAGCAGAAGCAAGTGAATTATGGCTATGCTGATAAAGCAATTGGCCTCCCCTCTAGAAATTACCATACTCTGGAGCTAATGGAATAATAAACAAATCCATGGCAATATAACAGATTAGAATATTTGCCTCATAGATCGCAGCAGTTCCAGGATTGAGCAACTGAGAAGTGGGTGGAAGACCAAGCTGAAAACAAGTGATACAAACATTGTAACAGCTGTAACCATCGTGGATGCAACCGTGACACACGGTGGAGTGATGCAAACTGTCAGGCTGTGAGAGAAGTGTGGAAGGGTATGTGATTTAGTAGAGTATAAATGCTAAAGAAAATTAATATGTTAAGTAGGATATAAAAGCCATATTGAAGGATGGTCCTTAAGAGGGTGATTTTTTGGCATGATGATCTTTTAATGCTGGGCTGTCTCAACCCATCAGCTGGAAGGACTAATGAGCACACAGTGAGCCAGCCTGGCCTTGYAACCCTGCTCTGTCCTTGAACAGAGATGACAACTTGGCCTCTGCAGCAACAGCTGTTAACTTACTCCTCTCGTCCTTCCAGCAGTAATTCCGATTGCCTAACTGGAGAGGAGGCAGAGGAAGTAAAAAGTTCCTATTTGGCCTTGCCTAACYTGGCAAGCCATGGCAGGGATAAGGCCTATTGACAAATTTGTAAATATACTAGAAGAGGTTTTGTGGCTCAAGGTAAGTTAACTACAGAAAACACAAGGCCAGGATCTRTTTTGCTGGAAGAAGCAAGTGAAGATCTTATCCCTCTAGACACCAGGTACTTACTTTTCCGGCCAGAGCTCATGCTAGATTCCAACTGCTTGAGTTTCATTACCAGCTTCTTTTTATCGGCCTTATTCTCTATTAAATAGCTAAGCAACATGCATGTGTACTGAGTGGCTCTGGAAGGGAAAAAACGAGGAGAGGGGGACACAGGTGAGACACGGACAATCACAGGATGGCAGCAGCAGGGCAGGTTTATTTCACAGAATCACAGCATTGTCAGGGTTGGAAGGGATTTCTGGAGATCAYGAGGTCATGCCTCACTCTCAAGGCAGGGTCACCTGGAGCAGGTGACACAGGAACATATCCAGGTGTCTTTGGGATGTCTCCGGAGAGAGAGACTCCAGGACCTCCGGTGCTCTGCCACCCGCAATGGAAAGAAGTTCTTCCTCACGCTGAGGTCAAACTCCTTGTGTTTTAATTAACGGCCATTACTCCTGGTCCTGCCGCGAGGCACCAGCTTACAGAGCGTGGCACCGTCCTGTGACACCGGCCTTGGGAACGGAAGGTGCCCGCGCCGGGCAGGGCTGTGAGGGGAAGGACCGCGGCCCGGCGGGACGGGCCCTGCCTCGGTGCTGGGGGAGCCCCGAGGGGACGCCTGTCCCCACACTCACCGGAAGAGCTGGTCGCGGCCCTGGCTGCGGTTGGTGAAGTTCACGAAGCCGTCCATGGCTCGGCAGCACCGCGGGAGGATCGCGGGGGCCGCGGCCGCTCCGCCCCGCTGCGCTCGGGCCCCGCCCCGCTGCGGAACGTTCCGCTGCGCGCCGCGTTCCCGGCCGGGCTGCGGCACTGTTACCACGGCAACCGTCAACAGCGGGGCAGCGGCGGTGTCACCGCTAAAGGCTTCCCCCGGCCGGGAGCCGGCGGCAGCGCAGCGCCCGCGGAGGATCCTCCCGGGACAGCCGGAGGAGCTCAGCCCGGCCATTCGGACTCCAAACCGGCCCTTCGGACCCCAAACCGGCCCTTCGGACCCCAACCCGGCCCTTCAGACCCCGGCCCCGCTCCCAGGTCAGCCCCTGTGAAGGGGGTGGGCCCGGGTGAGCATGGCCCCCCAGCAGAGGTGAAGCTCAAAACCACCCGGTGCCTTGGAAACGGAGTATAAAACTTCCAGTGGGAGCACCTGCTTCCCAAGTGAATTGTCGGGATTTTATGCAGGCCGAATAAGTCTGTTAATGAAGCTAATATTTTTGAATGTTTTGTCATAATTCTTATATAAACTTGTTGCAAAGTGTTCAGGCTCCCTTTCCCTGTGGGCAGCCTGCAGATCCCTGKGTGGCTGAAATCCCCAGAGCAGGACAAAACCCCAGGGTGACAGAGGTGACACAAGGAGAAATGAGCTGGGTAGAACACGGCCATCAATATTGAAARGAACCCCCCTTAGCCATCATTAATCATCTTTTCCCCCATTACCTCATGAAATAAGATATTGTAGGCTTCTTCGTTCTTCTGCATCCAGGGTGATTCCTGCAGCCGTGGTGCGTTTTGCATCTGGAAGGGTAGAACCATGGCAGTGAATACCCCGGAGCGTCTCCGGGAAATTCCCTCACCGTCTGAAAAGGACTGGCAAAAGGATGATGAGGAAGACTTCTTCCTGCTGGATCCTGATCGAGAGCGTGATGCATTGCCTCAGCCCTTCAGGATGATCAGGAAACTGCTGATGCAGGTTTTTGAGAGTGCTATGGAAATCATTGAAAGAAGGGAGATGCTCCGAGAAGCACAAAACCTRAAAGTCCAGCCCAGAAAATGCTTTCCTACAGCTTCATTCCAGGTACAGAGCCTCTCACAGCAGAGACAGCATTAGCCACCGTGGCAGATTTTGTCATTCTTCTCTTCATCACCTTCCTCAGAATCCACCACCATCTCACTGGTTCACTTTAAAAGCCTGCAGCTTCTAAGCTTGCCTGACAGGTTCTGCTTCCCACTCAACTATCACACTGCTCTGAAAAGAGAGAAGCAGGTATTAAACACTAAATTCCCCTTCAGATTCCCAGGCTGGCTCCACCCTCATTTGCAGAGGAGAAGGTAATTAGTCAGTAGCACACAAGTGGGCAAGCTCAGCTCTGTGTTATGGTGAGCAGAATGACAGTGCTGCCTTCCCCATTATTGTGTGGGGGTGTCCAGGAGGATGCACTGCTGTCTGCTGGTGTTCTGTGATTGCCTGGAGGAGCTCAGCACCCCATCACAACTCTGCATGAGAGTTGGAGGGCTGAATTCTCCTGAGTTCTTGGCCTTTAAAGCCCCTTCTGTTCRTGGGAAAGGAAAAAGTGGGAGCAAACTTTCTCATTCCTAACACAGACCAATCTCTGTGACAGAGATGAGACAGCTCCCCTGCTCTTCTAGGGAAGGAACGCATCAAAATGTTTCCCTTGTAGAATAAATCAGCAGTTTCTCGTGAATAGGTCAGGGATATATCCATCAGCATGGCTGATGTGTCCTCCACTGGGAAGGAGTTGGGTACACTCATCTTTTCCCTCTCTTGGCAGGTAACTGGAAGAGCCAATTGCCTTGCACTGTCTGGAAAATACATCTTTGTTGGCCTGTCCATGGGTCTGACTGCCTTCAGCAAGGGAAACTTGAAGGATGTCTGTGCTTGGGATGCAGCCAAGACAGAGATCTGTGCCATCCATGCCTCGGATTTAGGGAACGAGTGCCACGTCCTGCTTGCTGTGGATGAAATGGGTTAGTGTGATGTGGATTTCCTTGCCCTGGTGGGGGATCACTGAATTGGCAGCAGTGCTACAGAAGAATGTGAGATCAGGAGGAACAGTAGAATGGCTGATAGGTTTCCTGGAAAGCCCTGTGAAGAGGGTGTTGGATAACTAACAGATTGCAGGGTAACAGGGTGGCCTTAGGGCCTTATGATTAGCAGAGGGTGTGGGTTTGGTGACCTCTCTGGAGCAGCAGAGGCAGCTGCAGAGCTGWGGGTGAAGCACAATAAATTTTAGGAACATCTTGAGCTGGGCAGAAAGAGCCATTTCTTGGTATGACCATCCCTGCCTGTGACCTGTCCCTGCATCTGTTATTAGTTCATTAGTTCATCTGAATTCATCAATTCTGGTGAAGATACTTTTCAGACTGGCTAATCAATCCATCTCTGTGCACCATCAAATGTTTACTGGTGCTRGTATAAGGAAGCCAGCAAAAGTTTAGTGCTGGAAAAGTGGGTTATTTTTCCCTGGGCCCAGGRAAAATTGTACTCCCGTTCAATCTCCTGCACATGTTGTACCAGTTATCTCCCAAAAGCACGGCTAACATTTGYTCACTTTTCTCTCCCTCCTCCTGCTACTTTCGTATTTCTGTTTCAGGGCTTGTCTGGCTCCTCTTCTTTCACAAGGAAAGCTTCCTTCTCACTAAAGTCCTAAATGAAGTGGTGAGTACTGAGCTAATTCCATAAACACTTGCCACAGACTGGGAAGTAATCAATCATGAGGAGTATTAATTGCCCTCAGAAGTTTATTCATAGGCARCAGCACTCCAAGACTGCTGCCCAATATTTATCCTTGTTCTTCCAACAATCTGCCTGAACTGCTGAGAGCCACGGAGCTCTCTGAATCGGTGATGTTGCTTTGATCAGCCCATTTTCCCTTGGCAGGCAGATATCAGCCAGAGAAGCGCTTGTGTGGAGGTGGTGCTGTCCCGCCGAGGTGATTATGCAGGAATCCTGCTGCAAGGCAAGTGCAGGCACTGCTGTGTTTGGCGATTCTTGTGTTCTGAGAGAGGGGCAGCAGCAATATCTTTGAAATCTGTAAGTGTTCTGGGTACCCGGGATTGTGTTACAACCATCCCAGTCTCTCCTCCAGCTYACAGAGCTGCCCCTGCCACTCCCTGTCCCCTCCTCGGTGTGGATCAGGACTGATCCCAAAAGTGAGCTGTTTGGAACTGGTCAGTGCAGTTCCCAGCTCCCAGGAGGCTCAGTGAAAGCCCGTTTCCCTCTCCAGAACTACCAAACTCAGTTCTTCCTCTGGTTTGCTATGGCTCATTTTTATACAGGAAAGATGTAGACCTGGAGAATTTTATCTGTAGACATAGGCCAGAGAGCACAGAGAACCTCTAAAAATACTGCAAGAAACTCCTTGCTGCAACATTCTTGGCAGACAGATTTTCTGGACCCATGTTTGGTGGACTCTGCCTGGACACCTGCTGAAAATGAGATGTGTAGCATTTACAGAGAACTAATGTGAGACCATGTCTCACTTTCTGCTTTCTACTCTACAACTCAGAGGCTACAAGTCAAATTCTTAGCTGAGTTGCTTCATGGTATTTCTTTGGTGGAAAAGACCTTGAGGACTTGAGCTGGAGGTTGAGATGTTAGTCTCAGTCAAGCATGTCAAGCCTCAAGTGAAGGGGAGGTGGGCTGCATGGAATTCACRGAGATTTTATATTTAAAAAAATGCACAGATCTTTTTATAACTATATAAGGTAACAGAGRCTGTTTGCCCAAAAGACCTTTTCTCCTTGTTTTCAATTGCTTAACATGTTTTCCCAATGCAGACAGCACAAAAGCTTGGCTGGAGATCTACCAATTGCCTAAGGATTCCTGGCTGACAGAGATGGAAAAGAAAGCAGTTGCTGCAGAAGCGCTGGCTTGCAGTGAGAGCTTCTCTTCTGAGGTACAAAACWGTTCCATCTCCCTCTGTGCTATTTTTTCTTACAACTTTTTGCTCACAGGTATTCTCCCAAGCCTTGCTGCTGTAGATAGTGACAGCAAAACCCAGCCTGAAAATTGCTGTTGGCCCAGAGAAATGGTGTGTCTCTACAGCTGCTGCAGCTGCCCATCCCACATTTCATAAGGCCTTTGTCTTATTGGGACATGTTTACTCTCCCAAGACAGGCTTTCCAAAGAGATTCCCCTGGTCCCAGGGTTAGTGTTGCTGCTGCCCCTCCCTGAAACTGGCAGCTCATTTCTGGGCAGCATTGCTCCATCGGAGGGGGCCCTGTGTAAGGGTATTCCCACATGGCTTCTCCCTGATGTTACTGGGGGAAGGTGAAGAGGAATCAGGCAGGATCCTCCRTTTGGGAGTCTGGCCCTGAAGCAGGGTTTGTGTTTTAGGTACAAGAGGAGCCTGGTGGGGTCATGGCCTCACCCACCTGAGCAGGGCAGAGTCTCTGCCTGTGTGCACCAACCACTGTCACCACTGGTTCTTCAGCAGAAAACTCAGGAGCTGCATGGAGATGGTTCTGCAGAGATGGTCACTGGCCTCAGTGACTGTYCTGAGCTCACATGGGAGATTTTAAGAACTGAGCCAATGCTTAACTCTCTTCTCTATCACTTTCCTTCAGCTGGATTTCATCTCTCAGCACACAGACACCTCCTGCCCAGCACCTTGAGCTAACCCTCTGTGATACCTSCCTCCTAACTCTTTCCTCTTCCTTCAGCAAAGACATTGAAGAGGSAACTTCTTCTCAGCCTCAACTTTAGGACAAAAACCCCACTCAACTCAGCAAAGTTAAAAACCAACACTCAGGCATTCCCCCTTGCTGATTCCATGTAAATGACCCACRTTCCTGCCCCTTCCTTGTCAGACATGGCTGTTTACTAAGCCAGCCTTTTTCCTTTTTCTGTTTAGCCCAATGTCAGTGTGTGTGGGGTGATGCTGGTGGGCACACACTGGTGTTGGTCCCCTGTTACCTTTTCCTATTCCCAGCCAAGCATAAGAGACCTTCTCCAGTCCTGGGCTCTGTGAAGTAAAACCTGGTTCTTGCTTTCAGCAGACACTCTGCAACCTTTAGTCCAGCTTATTCTGTTTCCCTTTATTTTTTTCCTTTATTTTTTTTTTTTTTAATGAGCACTGATGTGACTCACACAGGCCTGTGCTGCAATAGGGATAATTCAGAGATGGCACAAAGATAGAAGTCTGGGCAGGATATCCTTGTAATGTAATTAAGAGAGCAGTGACCCCTCTCAAGCTTCTCTGTTTTGGCCTGAAGAATGACCCTAAACCCACTGTCTCCCAGATAGTCCCAACYCACCTTTGCATTCACATTCTTTAGGAAGCATTTGATTCCCATGCACAGGTAGAMACTCCTCAGCAGAGCACACAAGCCAGTTCTCAGGTGGGCACTTTTCTGTTGCAGGAGCCTCCTGTGTCTGCAATCCAAGCTGATGTACAGCTGGATCTCCCAGTGCTGCTGCTGACAGTGAGGCCACCCAAACCCATTACAGGTCAGGACTGATTCTGTATGTGCAGCCTGTTTCAGGTGCCAAAAGATTGGTGGCCCCTAGAAATACAGAACAGGTCAGAAAGTTTCAGTTACATGATCTCTGGTCCCTTCCTGACCYGTCTTTCTAGTTACACGTAACCCTGCAGTGGGAGTTGCTTCCTACCAGACCATCTCACATGTCACCTTTGCCAGCACAAAATACTTCAGGGTGTCTCAGAGAGGGTGTTATTACACCCTTGGCTTCAGTGTCATTGGAGAGGGAGCAGGCTGCTTCCTAGATCCTAAAAGCACCCCTAGTTCATCACCCTGAGTCCTGGATTTACAGAAAAATACCAAGCACGAGGAAAGAACARATTTTGTGCTGGGAAAATGCCACAGAAAGGCAAGGTGAGCAAGGTCCTCAGAGTCTTGCCCCAATCCCTGCCTTCAAATACTGGAAAATGGACAAGTGATGTGGAAAATCCCACAAAAGATAAAGAATATTCTGCTTCAAGACAATGCCACCCCCAGATGCCTCCATGGTGTCTGCTTCATGGTTKCTGCTCCTGCAGGGCTGTGCCTTTTCCCTCTGTGTTCCAAACCCAGGCACGAGTTTCAAAGGCCCCGTGGATGCCCTGAAGGARGTGGATGATGGCAGCATGCTTGGCTTGGGGTACAACCACCTGATCAAGGATTCCCAGTGGGAGCTGCAGGAAGCAATCTTCCGTAGCACTTACCGGGAGTATCTGGAGGCTGAGGGTGTGACCAAGGAGGAGATCCCCAGGTGAGAGGGAGCACCAGCCACGATTTCAGCCCATAAATCATCAGCACAGGGCACTTAGCACGTGTAGATGGAAGCCTCTGTCTTAGTTTTGCTTCCTTCATCCCAAGGCTTCAGGGCAGGGGCTGGAGCCATTCCAATTTATCAAAGYTTTTCTTTTACATATATTCCTTCCTTTTTTTTCAGACATGCTACCTTTCATTTCCTCCTGCCTAGCCGGATCCTGATGGGACCTGAAATGAAARTGCAGCCAGGTAATCCAAATGGACAAAAAGCTGTTAATCTGTGAAGCACAGACTTTGCATGACATTGAGCTCCTGTGAGAGCTCAGTGAGTCTTGCTTGCATCCACTTTGTAAATTCCATCTCCAAGGACATAAGCCTGGGTAAACTGTTAGCCCCAAGACTTTTAACTTACTGGCATGGAGTGAAAAAAAAAAAAAAAAAAAAAAAAACCAAAACAGCTTACCTCCATAGTTTAAAAAATCCCATTACATCCATCTCCAAAAAAAACCCCAAACCAAAACACCCCCACGCCCCACCAAAAAAAAATAAAAAGGAGGCATATAGCCAGGGTAAAAATGACAAACAAAGGGAGAGGTGGTTCTGGTTTAGTTTCTGTGTGAGCAGAGTTTCTGTTAATGAGACCTTTCTAAATGGTGTTTTGGTGTCCTGGATTGTTCTGTTCTTTGTTCCCAGTCTTCCTCTCTTTTTGTCATCCCCTTCTCTGTACCAGATATTCCAGTTGGCATCGGTGTGCACTGGGATGGAAATCACAATTTCTGCTTGTACTTACTTAACCGTTCACTCAAGGAGAAAGGAGGTAAGAAAGTTTTGCTTTCTCCAGCAAAGAGATTTCTGTGGCCAGTGGCTGTCATTCTGCCAGGTCTTTATGATTCAGGGAGATGAGGAATTGGGAGGAGAGCTGACTCACATCTTGTGGGTTAGGCTGGCATTTGGATTGTGGGGCTCTGTGTTGCACAAGCTGGCAGTGTTTTCAGTGAAGTCACTCTGGCAGGAGGCTGCAGAACAGTGCCTGTTTTGTGGGGAAAATGGATGCWAGTACCATGAGAAATAACACTCTGCACCTTCTTACAGTTGTCTCTYTTTACATCATTCTATTTAGGTTCTGATCTGAAGCCTGATGTTGTGTGGCCGTGTGCAGCTCCAATTGCATGCTCAGCTGTCAGCTCCTGCTCCAGGTACCTGGCACTGGCAGGTGAAGATGCAACAATAACTATTTGGGATAAACACCTAGGTGAGCTTGCCCTTTGGGACTGTGTGTTGGYATCACTGTGGATGAAGTGCACTTTTGCCTGGGAATTTGAAGCTCTGGCTCTGTGAACAGGGGGTTGATAATGAGTTTARAAGCAAATCTGAAGATAGTTTGGGTTCAGAAGTTGCCAGCACAGAATGACTGCCCTGGCTCTTTCAGAGCCATCCCCACCCATGGCAATGCAGGGGCTGGAACTGCCATAGCAAGRACTGATGACAGTGTTGCCCTGAGGCTGTGAGACAGTGACAGTCACTGCCTTGCCCCTGCACTTTCAGATCATCTTTGAGATGGTTGTGATCACAGTTCAGGCTGCCATCAGTGTCAGTGTCATCCTGCCACGATGCAGGGACTGTCCCAGAAGAAGAATCTTCTGCTATCAAGATTGTTTTGGTGGCTGCTCCCTCTGAGCAGACCACAGTACAAACTGAGCTTTCCTTGGATAAATTACCAGCTCCTTTTTTTTTCCTTCCTCAGGATACCCTCTGTCTGTGACTGCCATTCTAGAGGAACGTTTCATCCGTAGTATCCACTTTCTGTGTGATTCTGCAGCTGCCAGTGATGAGACACCTATTACAGATCCTGTCTGTCCCATCCTACAGCTTCTAGTGCTGTGTACAGACAGCTCTTTCTATTTGGTGAAAGCACCCAGGCTCGGGAAGTCCAGCATCACACTCCTGGCAGACAGGTGAGGTACACTCTGATAGACCTCATTCCAGGCAAAGAAGCCATGGTTCCAGTGGTCATGGGACCCCCAAATTTCTGTGGAGTAGAGAAATTTCTACTGCTTTTACCCAGAGGGCTCTGTCATGCTGCTGTCAGCAGCAAGTGTGGTTTTGCTAGTGCTAAAATCCAAAGGTTATGCCAGAATTAGGGGTGTTTCTGGGTTCTTCTGTGTACCAGAACACAAACACCTATAGCACAGCTCCAGGGCTGATATTGAGCTATTTGTGTCTCTGTCAGGTATTCAGGGGAACCTTTTCTTCTCTCTTCTATTCTTAACAGAGCAACTTCCCCCTACAAGTCAGAATAAACATTTCTTGCCATCTTTCTATCATTTTTGTGTCTTCTTATCCCCTTGGTTTGAGGAGAATGAAAGCTATTGCTCCCAAAGACTCTGGATTCATGCCTCCATGGCAGGCAGGGGATTTGTATCTCCAGTGTAGTTCCTTGGCAGATTTGCCTGAGGAGTTCCTGCCCAGGAGGAGACACTTTGTCTCTATCAGGAAGGGACTTGGTTGGGACTTTAGGTCACCCAGCATGCCACAAACTGTCACTGTCATTATCACAACCTCTCAGTACATGCCAGGTACATGCAGCATAAACCTGTGTCTCTTTTACAGGCCTGAAGATCCAAATCTTACTGTCAGTGCAGTGGTGCCTGTCCAGGCCTTCCCCAGTGCAGTGAGTATTACTGCCAGATCCCTTAGCAAGGGACATGTCCAGCAAAGGGTCTTGTTTCCAGCAAAGACTGTAACTGGGTGCCTACAAGTTAACAAACAGGGCAATCAGATATGGTTCTTCCCTCACATCCTTTCCCAGGCTCCAAATATTTTTACCATGAAGACTTCCTGTGTGTAGCTGGTAATGCTCAAAGGATTTTTCTTCCGTGATCTTGCTCAGTATCACCTCACACCCTTGCCCTCTAACTGGCCACTGAGGTGCACATGGTCRGGTCCAAATGAGAGGTGAACACAAGTTCAGCCAGACCTTGAAGTGGGCTCAGAAAATTTTCAGGCATGGGGACAAAAGGACTAAAAGCCACTCACCATAACAGCCATGCAGAAGGCTGGATCTAGCTCATTTATTTTCCAATCCCAACCTCCAGCATTTTCAGTCCGAGTTCTCTGTAAGGCCTGACTTTATCTCTGTTGCCCTATGACTATTGGGCAGGCAAAGAAAATTGCATCATAATTGGGGATGTGAAGTCCTGAATGTCATTCCATGTCCTTTACAGAAAATGCTTTTCAATTCTTTTACATCTGTGTGTCAATTTTGCTGCTTCAGGCCCTGATCTTCTCCTGGGATGGCACGGTGGCCCTGATGAACACTGAAACATCACAAATGGTTCACTGCTTCTATATTCCACCTCCTCATGCTGTAGCATCCTCCTGGCAGCCAGTGTTTGCAGTGGACAATGTGACCTGCTGCTTGGTACTTCGAGGTGGGTGACACCTTGGAGTGCTCATAGATACACCACCATTGGGTGCATTCAGCTGTGCACTGATCATTGATTGCTTTTTTTGGATGACTCCTGATGCAGTAGTTCACTGTTCTTGTTTCTGTCTAGGAGATGAGCAGCAGCARCCAGATGAATCAGTCCAGAGCAAAGACATTCATAGCACAATCTTCCTTTTTGACTTCAATTTCTACCCACTGAGGGATGCTTTTCCAAAGAAACCAGATTTGCCTCTCAAATCCTTTCAGGAACTGCAATGGATTGAGAGATGTAACATTTTCTTAGCTGATAGGTTTCGCCTTCTGCCTGAGAGGTAAGTGCACCTGCATTATTACAGGCTGTGGTGTTGCTGAGTTCATGCAAGGTCTCACCCTGGAGCTTCTGAGTTGTTCTGTGTGCTGAAAGAGATTTGTGTGGGTAAGGTTGGTGTTCAGGTAGATGGATTCCTGACAGCCCCCAGAACCCCTGTCCTTTCTGTCCTTCCTGAAACAACTTCAGCTGTAAGTCAGGATGCTTGGAGCAGGCTTGGTGTTCCAGATAGAAAAGGCTTGCAAGTTCGAATGTTTTTTTTTTTTTTTCATTAAACAGTTTGTGCAAGTTTGTCAGGGAATATGATCATCACGTGTTTGCATCTTCCACTGGATCCCACAGCCAGGCAGAACTGGGATCTCTTTGTACCTCTCCTCTGCCCTGCATTCCCGGGTTCGTTCGGTGTTTAAGTGGGTTTGTGCTGGAGGTTCCTCCCTTTAAGAAGGTCGGATGATGCCTTGTGTGATGTCGCCACTAGATGACACTGTGACACATATTTTTGGGGTCCTTTGCCTTGAATTCTGCTGGGAACCTGGCGCTACATCCCTGTCAATATTTTGCATTTTCTTTTCACGATGCCTTAATTCTCCAATATGAAACGAAACAGGTGGGTGCAGGTATGAGCTCGCAGCACATATCACCTGKCAGCCTTCCCTAATTCCTTGTCTCCAGGGTGAATCCTGTGGAGTTGTCCTAGCTAAGTGCAGAAAAGTTTCATCCTGTCCTACCTGCCACCAGTTCTGTCCCTCCTTCTTATAAAGCTGGAGAGAAGACTCTTGTCTGCCTTATACCAGAAAAATGGGGAAACACCACCTGCAGGGATATGCTGCTCCCTGGAACTGAGAGCTGAAGCCAGAACAGTGCAAATACAACTGCAGTGTGATCTGTGTCTAGAGAGTTTATAGGCAACAAGAAATTCAGAGGTCATTGCTGTCAGGAACACTAAACTTTAGTGCTGATTGCCATGAGGGAATCACTGAGGTTTTTGGAGACAAGAAGTAGAACTGCCTAATTTGTATTGAGCCCCAGGGGCCCTCGGGGGAGTTGTCTGAACACCTGGAGAATGTCAGGTACTGTTTTTGGTTTAACCACCCTTTCTCCCCCTGTTTTAGGCAGCAGGTACTGCTGGAAATGGAGGAGCAGCAATACTGGGATTGTCTGCAGACACAAGCAGCTGCTATGGACAGTGARATACAGAAAGCAAAGGGAGAGAAGAAGAAGTAGCCAGCCTTGCATCCTGAGGGCCAGGCTCATGATCCAGCACTGACATTTTAACAGACACTGTTCCACTYATCTCTGTCCCAGAGACCTGGAGCATCAGAGCAGTCTGGTGTGTCACAATAATACACAGGACCTTAATGAAACCTTTCCTCCAATAAAAGTCTCTTGCTCTTCATAGCACCAGCATTTTGTCACTCTGATTTTCTGTGTGTTGCTGGAGCTCACCTGTGGGTCTCATTTTCTGCTCCTACACAGATGGACAGCCAGCAGCATCCTTGTGCTTAACAAGACATCTGATCCTTTCAAAGCAGGCAGCAAATGGGCTGTGGAGGTGTCATCCCCCAAAGCATGGCAGTGCTGAGAAGCAGTGACACTGCAGCGTGTGACAGGCCTGACGCAGGATGTTCTGCAGTCCAGTTKTTCCTTTTGACTTCAAAACAGGCAGTTTTGGGACAAAACTGCTTAGGAATTACAGCCTGGAAACAGTGTGAGAAAGCTTCAGTCTTTTTGCAACTGATTGTGCTTCCAGGATGAATGCCTAACCCACAAAGAATCTGACAGATCTCCCAGGAGCTACTCCAATTTGTGTGCATGGGAGAGGGTTTTATTTTTGCTTTTTTTTTTTTTTTTTTTTTTCCCAGGTCTCCCTCTAGTGCCTCCCACAAAGGCTCAGCAGAGCATCAATGCAGGGTGCCATGGATTCAGCACAGACTGAGCTGTGTAGATGCTCTCATGCCAAGGTACCATCTCAGTTTTTCAAGTTGTCTTGTTTTGGGCTGAGTTTTGATGAGAGGTTTCAGCTCATCCTGTGGAGACAGAGTCAGCCAGAAGGTTGGGGAGGTAGGAAAAGGGAGAAGCATTTTATTTGTTTCACAGTCTCGATGCCTGGCTTTGCTCTGGAGAAGGACAAGCTATTTGAATTGAACCTTCTATTTGCCACCTTTGTGAAGGCTCTGAGGGCTGCAGTAAAAGCTTTTGTGCTGTCATTTTCCATCTGCCATGGATTACAGCTTCACAGCTCATCTGATTGTTACGGATATTGGGACTGGGCTGTGTGAGCTCCTGCCATCTGCCTCARTGCAAAGTCAGGTGGGTGAGCCCAAACCACCCTCAATGCCTGTTTAAACTCAGCCACCTGGGTCAGCACTGGAGAGAACACGGACCAATCCTTGATCCTTCCTTCTCTTCTTGCTGCAGGGGCCATACAACTTAATTATTTTATTTTCATGGTACTTTCAGAAATAATAGGCCCTCTGCTGTAGCTAGGCATAGGGGATTACTCCAGGCAGGAATTCCTATTTCTGCATTGCTTCCCATGSTGCAGGAAGCCAGCACAGCTAATACAGGACCCCTCAAACAGCACTGGGTCTAGTTCTTGCTATTTGGGCAAAAAGGACGTGTGGATCTGTGCCATCAATCCTGCCYCCATCTACTTTCCATCCACAAGAGGAATGCCCATCCATCAGAAGAGGCAGGACGGGATCTGCTGAACAGTCAGATGTACTGTGCATGCACCAGTTCATGTGTATTCATCTCAAGATGTACTTATTTGTTCGCAGTTCGAATTTGCTCTAAGATTCTAATCATGTGCTTGGCCAAGATAACCAGGAGCTGGCAGGCTTCACAGAGAAAGGAAAACAACAAGCAGCTGCAGGAGGCTGATGAAGAGCCTTTGTTTTAACTCATTATTTCAGCAGGGGACCATTTGTTTCCTGCTTCTTCGAGGGATACAGAAGAATTGGCATGGTCAGYGTGTTGACATGTGTGTTGGTGATGGAGCTCTGTGCTGAGCTCCAGAGCACSTTCTGGAGACAAACACAGACACCTGATTGCTTATCCAAAGACAATGCACTTGGCACCAATGCCTTCATTCCAGGCACTCTGTGAGTGGCTGGAACTCTGCTCCAATTTCAGCTGTTCTGCTGCTGGAAACTGCAGAAAGGCCCTGAGTAGTATCATTTATACATACATACATACATACATATATATATATATATATATATTTATTTCACCATCAAAAGATGGAACTGTGAACTCTGGCTGGGCCGGCTCCTAGCTCAGTGCCAAGTTCAGTGAACTCAGAGGTGCTGCCAGGGTATAATAGGAACAATTTGGTTCTGTATTTTAAAAAAGTAAAAGGAAGTTAAAAGATCAGTTGATGGCTGGAGAAGGCTGGAGGGAGGAGGGATGCTCAGATCCACAGAGAGGCGCTCGAGCAGCATCATTCCATCGCAGCCGGGTTCCTGCCCAGCCGGACGGGGATGGTTTCTCTGCACGAGAAGGGAGACGAGGCTGCCGCTTAATCTCGCTGAATTATCTGCTGTTCTCTGCAAGAAGMCAAATGTCATCTTACTTCTTTGCGTACTTGCTTGTGCTGCGAAAGCAAAGGAAATCAGAGGATGATCTGATCTGATTCCCCCGCTCCCAGGCCAGCAAAAGTTTGGGCTGTTTGGGTAAGCAGATCTGTGTCTGTGGGAAGGAGCRTGGTCCCTGGAAGAGCTGAAGGGCTGTGTGCTCTGAGATCTGCACTCCTCGCTGCCTGTGTTACCAGTTTTGCCACAATAATCACATATCCTGTAATGTCTCACCACATCAACCTGAAGCCACCCTACAGAGGAAGCTGCAAAGAATTCTGTGTCCTGCCTGGGGGAAATAATGTCCCTGCAAGACACTGTGGGACATGCAGTGGTGCCTGGGACAGGACAGTCCAGCAAGTGCTTGCTCAGTTTGTTCTGGTGATAGCAAAGGAAGAACAAGCTGCCTCCTCTGCTGGACAAATTTGTGTCTAGAGGTAGAACAGGTACTGCATCCCATTCCTAATTTCTGAAATAGCTCTCCTTGTCCAAACTAGTGTCGCCTCATTGCCTCTAATGCCAGTTCCCTGTACCAGGGTGCAGTTTCTCATCTTGCTCTGAGTCCAGGCTTGGATTGTGCTGTTCAGCCAAGCCGTGCAGATCAACCCTTTCAATCTTCCCTAATGCGTTGTGCCAGACATCTCAGTCTGCTTTAATYTGGGGCTTCTGCAAACCCTTCCAGTTTGTCCCTGTTTCTGTTCCAGTTTGATGACATCCAGTGTTTCTGGTACTGCTCTGTCTAGMACCTGGTACAATATTCATGTGTGGTCTCATATGGGGAGCCAGGTTCTGCTGGCCTTGATACCAGATTTTGCAAGAGCAGGACAGTTGGCTGGGATGAGAAACGAGCCACGTTTTTGAGGGCAAGATAGAGGATGAGGCTGGCTGAGCTTTGCTAAGGGTGCTGGAGAGATAAGAGATTTGCACCGTGATGAGGATGACGCTGTGTTTTGGCTCATGCCCCGTGGATTTCCAGGCACTCCACACAGCTGAACACAGGCAGTGCTTGTGCTCTGAGGAACTCACACCCAGCACAAGCCAAGGGCYGGGCCTGGGCTGTAGAGGAGTGGATTTATCGTGCTGAAGGGGAGGATTTGCCCTTGCAGGAGCCAGGTGTTCATGTGGCACCCTCTGTGCAGTGCCATGCGCTGGCTCTGCCCCAGCAAAAGCCATGGTTTAAGAAGGGGAAGGCCAGTGRCTCATGTCACTGCAGGGCTACAGATCAGACAGGAGGGAAATGTGCAGTGTCTGAGGACTCAATGGGCTGTGCTGCCAAGTTTGAAACGCTCCCACTGCCTCCAGCTCATCACACTGAACAGCTCGTTTTGTTAAASCCTCGGGTCACCCTGCTTGGGCAAACAGCAGCTCTTCTGCAAGTGGAGGGCTGGACTGTCAGAGGGAGAGGGAATAAATTTGTGTTGGGAGAGGGWGTTCACAGGGAAAGGAGATCTCTASGGGGATAACAACAAGTCCTGCACTGAGCAATGAGGAAAATACGCTAATTAGGCAAGGAAGAGGAACCTGCTAGGTTGCAATCCTGACCTAACAACCAATTACAGGATAATATAGCACAGTAATACAGGGTAAACACAAAGCAGAGGATGCTTCTGAATTAATTCCTTTTTGAAATGCAGCAATCATTTAAAAACATCCGGTATCCTGATTTTAAACTGCCCATCACTGACGCCAGCACAGCCTGTGGTCAATTGTCACAGTTGTAAAATGACCTGTGCTGTTTGAATTCGTGCCCTATTTCTAACCTGAATAAGTCACATTGCAGGCCCCAGCTTGGAGATGGAAGGGCCCACCAGGAAAAGGTGTGGGTTTTGAGGGGGGTGTGTTTAAAGCAGAAGGGAGAYTGAAGAGGCTGCAGAGTCCGTGGAGAACCTTAGCAGTGGGTTCAGGTTAGAGGTGAGGGCAATTTGCACGGGCTGTGGATTTTTGTAAATTTGCGTAAGTGCAGATTTCTGAGGAGTCATGCAGCATCCATCAGTGGAGGATTCTCTCCTGGGCAGGGAGATTCACTAGGACAGGGGGCACTCTTGGATTCCTTCTAGCCCAGATTTCCTGTGATTCCCGATTTCTAGAAATGAGATGAATTGGATTCCTGAAGTGTTCCCCACACATTCTGCACTCGGGTCCTTGCTCTCTTCTTGAATTTGCACGGGCTGTGGATTTTTGTAAATTTTCATAAGTGTAGATTTCTGAGGAGTCATGCAGCATCCATCAGTGGAGGATTCTCTCCTAGCCAGTGAGATTCACTAGGACAGGGGGCACTCTTGGATTCCTTCTAGCCCAGATTTCCTGTGATTCCCGATTTCTGGAAGTGAGATGGACCGGATTCCTGAAGTTTCCCCACACATTCTGCACTCGGATCCTTGCTCTCCTTGAAGGCTATAACATACAGAAGGAAATGAGAAAAGCATTTCACACAGTGGCTGAGACAGTGCTGAGAAGCAACTGGGGCAGGGATACAAACCAGGAAAAGGATTTGCAATTGTCCGAATGGGAATGGAATGTTCAATTCCATCACTGGAGCTTTTGCTCCTTATGGATCTCCCCCTTGACAGACTCCTGGCAGAGACAGAGGCAGCGATGGTGGATGAGACAGGACTAAACAGATCTGCCAGGCTCTGCTTCCCTCCTGGTTCAATAACTCGCATCCTTCGTCCTTCCCAGTGAGCTGACAGTGCCTACTATGGTTTTGTCATTTTTTCTCCTAGTCCTGTCTCTGTGGAAGTTCATATTTTAGCAATTCATCTTCTTATAATTATTTCTGCTAAAAGCATTACCAGAAGGTCCCTTGGCACTGGCAAATGTT